AAAAAAAAAAAAAATAAAATCACTCGAGTAGCTCTTCTTGACTCGCTGCAGGACACCGAATCAGCTCCAAGATCCTCGTCACTTCCTCCATGTCAGGACGGTTTGACGGCACCTGAGATGCACAAATCAACCCTAGCTTAACCACCGGTACAGCCTCCTCCACCGGATAATTACCCCCAAGCCTCTTATCAATGCATTCTTCTACCCTTCCCTCGTCCAAAGCTTCCCTAACCATATCACACAGCACGACCACATCATCCTCCATGTACTCAACGGGCCTTTTCCCCGTGACAACCTCGAGCGTTAATATCCCAAAACCATACACATCACATTTTTCAGTTATTTTCACCGTCTGGCACGCATACTCTGGAGCCATATACCCCAATGCACTTTGAATCTTGCTACTCAATATATAACGATCTAAAGCCGGAAGAAGCCTGGCCAGCCCGAAATCCCCCACTTTCGGCTCCCCACAAGAATCGATCAACACATTAGCAGACTTCATGTTGTAGTGGATCACGTTCGTCCGGTGGAGGTGAGCAAGGCCACTAGCCGTACCGAGAATTATCTTAAATCTCTGCTGCCATGTGAGGCCGCCACCTGTCCCTTCCGCATCGTGAAGATGCTTGTGTAGGCTCCCGCATGATACGTACTCGTTTATGAGCAGCTGCAGAGATGGGGTCCAGTAGTATCCCTCAAGCGCCACCAGATTTTCGTGCCGGATTTTCCCGAGCTTCTTGATTTCCCTCTCGAATTCCTCCCGGGACTTGACGAGGCTCGTCGTGTTGAGCTTCTTGATCGCGACGGCCCGTTTTCCCCCCTGAATCTTAGTGAGGTAGACCGTCCCGAACCCGCCTCGCCCCAGCTCGGCATTCTTGGCTAGCAGACCATGGGCTCCGGTTGACGTGAAGTCGACCTCGCCAGAGAACATGACGAGCTTCCCATAGCTGGCTGAGCTCTCGTGAGAAATGCTGATGTCATCCCCTCCCGAGAAGGCGAGGGCCGCACGAGCCTGCGCTGTTGCCGTGCGCGCGTGCATGTTGAGGATCGAGACTGTCACGACACCAAGGGCTATGACAATGGCAGCTCCAATAGCAACGAGGGACGATATGCTGAGAACTATACGTTTGTGGCGAAGGTCAGGAGACAGTGGGCCCCGGTTGGCTACGGACGAATTTGGGTTGAGGACTAGGGGCTTCTGGTGGGCTGCGGGGCAGGATTGCCTGCACAGTAAAGGGTTACCTATAAATGATGTGGTGGGGATCGTGCTGAAGAAGCCCCCGAAGGGTATTCCTCCCTCGAGGTGATTGAACGAGACGTTGAAGGAGATGATGTGGGAGAGGTTCGTAAGCTCGTTCGGGATGCTTCCGGAAAGGTTGTTGAATGAGATGTCGAGGAGCTCGAGGTTGGACAAGCTGGCGATCGAGGAAGGGATAGAGCCGCTGAGGTTATTCCCAGACAAGATCCTACACCAGAGATCGAAGCGAATCGAACAAACAAAATTCAGATTTTATGTTCATCATACCAAGTGCTTTTAAGAGTTTTTTTTTTTAAAGAAAGTAAAGTAGAAACCAAAACTTACAAAGAGGTTAGAGATGAGCAGTTCTTGATGTTTACTGGAATGGCTCCACTGAGATGATTGCGGCTCATATCGAGAACAGAGGTTGCATTTAGCTGACCAACGCTCGGGGGAATGAGGCCAAATAGAAGATTATGAGACAGATTCAATGCTTGCAGCCGGCGAAAATTGCCGATAGCCCATGGGATTTGGCCCGTTAATATGTTGGATGACAAATCTAAGACCTGCAGGCTTTGGTAAGTCTGCAGGTAGAAAGCGGGAAAGCTGAGGCTTCCGGTGTATCTGTTACGAGATAGAGAGATTGTCTCTAGAGCTAAATTGAAAACCCAAGAAGGCAGATTACCGGAAAGTAAATTTCCATCTACAGCAAGAACCTTAAGGTTGAAGCAATCTCTAATCGACTCCGGTAAGTACCCCATGAATCGATTGTTGGACAAATTAACTTGGTTCAGATATTGGAGATTGCCTATGGTACTCGGTATCCTACCGGAAAAACTATTGCCTGAAAGATCCAAAAACTCTAAGCTTCTCATCTCTCCAATCCAATTCGGAAGTTGACCGGACAAGAAATTCCCACTAACATCAAGATATTTGCAGGACAGTCTTAGTTCTTTCAATGAAAGAGGAAGGCCACCACCGAAATGATTTCTTCCAAAATCAACCGAATACAGTGATGAAAAGTTTCCAATATTTTCAGGCAGCGAGCCCACAAAACTATTTCTACCAAAGTTAATAGCTCTCAGATTATACAAACTCCCCATATCACCCGGAATTTCGCCTTCGAACCAATTACCGGACAGATCAAGTGTTTGGAGGGAAGCTAGAGACCATAAAGCAGAAGGCAACTGACCTGAAAGGCGATTGGACGACAAGTTGAGAGTCTCCAGCTTCGAGCACGAGCTCAAGGACTGAGGCAACATGCCAGTTAGATTGTTACTTGCAAAAGAGATTTCTTTCAAGGACCCACATTGTTGGAAAAGCTCTTCAGGCATCGTCCCCGATAGACTGTTCTCACTAAAATCGACGATTTGCAGAGCTGGAATCTGAGTTAGGGCTGGATTTATATTCCCCGAAAAATTGTTTCTTGATAGATGCAGAACCTTGAGGTGCTGCAACCTAATCAAGATTTTGCTTATGTGCCCAGACAAAGAGAACCCATCAAGATTCAGTTCGGACACGCCGCCGGTGTCATCATAACATGTCACGCCGACCCAGTTACAGGGAAGCGACGCGTCCTCGGTCCACGAGGCGAGCTTCGATTGCGGGTCGATGAGCGCAGACTTTACAGCTATCAAGACCAGTACGTCGTCGTTTAAGGCTTCGTCTGCAGATTGAACCACAAGCAACGGAAACAGGAACAGAACAGTGACCAAATTCACAAGCTTCGACATTTTTCAAACTTTCAAATTCTCACCAGCTTGGGGAGCGCAGGGTTCAAAAAAGCATTTTCGGTAGTGATAAAAATGCAGAGAGTAATAGCTCAAGAAATGTGAAACGGGGCGTGAAGAAACGAAGAAAGAAATAGCAGTGCATGGATATGAAAGGTGAAATCGGAAAAACAAATGCCAAAGACGGGGTTTTAACTTCCGATAGCCGGAGATACTGCCGGAAATCGACGCGGTGACCCAAAAAAGATGCAATCTTTAGACTTTTACCTCAACAAATCGGGGAAAAAACGCCGGAGAAAACGGGATTAAATGCAGAGGGGGTAAAAAGTCTGGTGTTTGGTGAGCCGGATACAAATATTTGGAAGGGAGATGGAGAGTAGGAGCAGCTGAGGCAGTGATGATGAGGCATTAAAGTGTGTGTCAGTGCGGTTGAAAGTGTGCCTTCAATGCTCCCAATACGTTTTAGAGAGAGAAAAATGAAAGCTTTTGCTCTGTTTTTGAAAGTCCTCTTCTCATGGACTGATTTAAATTCTCCAATGTTTAATCATACACTGTCTCCTAAATGTAGGTTTGTCAATTATACTTTATTGCAAGGCTATAGAATCATGTCTTCCAACGTGTAATTTACTACTACTACTTTTGCAGGTTTTGAATTAGTGTTTTATTCCTCCATTTTTTCTGTAAATACATACTATCATTTCAAGGGCATGTGTTGTTGTATCATTTGTTTATTTATTTTTGTGATGTTATGTGCTGTTGTATTATTACTTATTAACATAATATGATTGCATGTTAACGTGACACGGTGTTTTGTAAGCATATAAGCTAGTTTATATCTTAATTAATTAGTTTTAATTTTTGTATTTAAATAATCTTAGTTTGGTATGACGAATTTTTTAAAAGGATCGAGTTCACCTTATAAATTTTTTTGGGTAATTTTTCAAAAAAGTTCATTAAAATCTTTATTTCTGCTAACTTATTAACTAATTTATCAAATAATTTTATCATATAAGATAATTTTTCAATTATAAGTCATAAGCTATAAATTTGAAATTCACTTATAGTTATAAACCAGCTTATCAACTACAAGCTAGTTTATCAATTAGGTTTACCAAACATCATATGTATTTAGTTACTTATTATTAATCGATACTACAACAAAACGGTTGTTGGACAAATTTAATAGTTAAACAATTTTTCTTTGGGTAATGATAATTGTCATTATTATTGTTAGTTTTAGGTAGCCAGAAATGAAAGAGTTAATTAATGGAGTATGTAAAAATGTGACCCCAAAAATAGAGCTGTCTGTGGCGTGTGGTGTGGCGTGGCTTGGCTTGGCTGGCGTCTTTAATTAAATTTTGGTCAAAGTGGAACCCTAGGCAAACCCACTCCTACGTGGCACAGTTTTCCAGTGTTTAACTTTTTTTTGATATATAGGTTTCAGCCCCACTATACAGAGTTGCAGTCAATCCCTAGCCCTAATCCCCGGCCTCACAGTGATTTCGGGAGTTAAATCTAAAACTTGCGACAGTGGCTTTCAGTTAGTCCGAAGTTGTACACTCTTGGGCGACCAACGGGCCGACCACTTCAGGTATCTGCATTCTGCTCCTCCTAAGTTTCGATCCCGCCACACAGTGCTTGCAAGCGAACTTGCGGCCCCCCATCCCACCAACTGCGCTACGCCCTGGGGGCAATGTTTACTTTTTTCTTCATCTCATGCGAGCTCTCACTTGCCTCAAAAGTCTTCAACAGTGTTTTTTAATTTACATCTGATTTTTTTTAAAGAGTATGAAAGCATGAATTATAATACTATTTGCTACACTTCAATCTGAAGTTTGCTACACTTTTTTCATGATTTTGCCTTGTCAATTACTTAACCTTTTTTTTTTTTTTTTTTTTTT